GGATGACAGGTAACTTTCCTACAAATGTCAACTATGAAGGGTACCTGTCGTCATTACCCTTGGATGACAGGTAACTTTCCTACAAATATCAACTATGAAGGGTACCTGTCGTCATTACCCTTGGATGACAGGTAACTTTCCTACAAATATTAACTATGAAGGGTACCTGTCATCATTACCCTTGGATGACAGGTAACTTTCCTACAAATGTCAACTATGAAGGGTACCTGTCATCATTACCATTGGATGACAGGTAACTTTCCTACAGATATCTACTATGAAGGGTACCTGTCGTCATTACCATTGGATGACAAGTAACTTTCCTACAGATATCTACTATGAAGGGTACCTGTCGTCATTACCCTTGGATGACAAGTAACTTTCCTACAAATATCAACTATGAAGGGTACCTGTCGTCATTACCCTTGGATGACAAGTAACTTTCCTATTCAACAGCATTCTATAAATAATTCCACGATGGGGTATTGTTATTGAGCTTTCGCTAACAGCTCCAATTATATTTAAGTTCAATACGCATGACTGTTGAGTTAACAGATTACCCAATTTTATGATATATTGTTATTATAACACAAAAAAAAACATTTCAAGTCGTTCTTTCTAATATATATTATAAAGAAGATAGAAGATGACGCAACAGTACCAACATACATCATCTTGTTGTGCGTCACAATTGTATTTTGCGTGGAAAAAAAACAACAATGAATAAGTCAGAAAATTTTGCCTGTTATCTATCGGTTATCCAATAGGTGGATGATACCAACGATAATAACGATGGCATTGTTGGTTAATGAAATAATGCCCAAGAAAAAAGATTGTTAAAATAAAAAGAGAGAGAGAGAGAGAAACAGTCAGTAGTTCGTAAAGTAACTAATAGGTGACAGCACAATAGCAAGAAGGAAGTTTCACAACAATTGTGGTCCTTTTTTTTTGTAAAGTGTTAATATATAAGTAACTGACAGAAGATAATACAAATTATTATCAATTAAAGTTGATCATCTCAAGGTTAAAGCTGTCACGAGAGGCCAAATGGTTAATGTGCTCGGACTACGAATCCGAGAGTGCACGAGTCGTTGCCGTAAACACGTGCTCCTCACGTTTTTTTTTATTTGCTTGAAGTTAAGCACAAAGTTATACAAAGGGCTATCTGTGCTCTGCCCACTACGAGTATCGAAACCCGGCTTATAGCGTTGTAAGTCCGCAGACGTACAAGAGTAACCGAATGTTTGCCTTTGGGTGCTACTGACCAAGTTACCTTCCTTTTACAATCTATGTGCATCTATCTCTTCACACAATAAATCTAAAACAAACAGACCAAAGATTACGGAAATCTGGTTTCGGACGCACTAGTTAATTAAATAAAACTTCTCGAAGTTTCCATTAGGTTTTTCTTTTTATTGCCACGTTTACATTTTGTTTGTTTATGACAAAATTACTATCTTTCCCCATCCCTAGTTTTAAACTACTGACTACAGGAAAAGCAATCGACTGGCAGCATCCAACTCACCTTTTTCACAACTTTGTAACAACAAATAGTGTGATTGGCCATCGCATTATAACGTCCCCATTACTGAAAGAAATCGAATAAAATCTAGTTGCCTTTTTTCTTGTCAAAAGTTCCATAAAGAAAAAAAAATGTTAGGGTGAGTACCCTAACCAACAGGCCATATCTGGTCTTTAGTTACAGTGATGTGAGAAAAACTCAGATACACAAATCAAGTTTTCTACGTAAAACAGTCATTGTAGTTTGTGTTAAAATGTTTCTTGTGTGGGATGGTCCGATAAAAAAAAATGGCTGTCATATTCAATCTATTACTCTATGATGCTTGCAATTAACTACAAAAGTTGAGTTATAGCCTTATTTAAGCAGCTAATTGCCATTACCGAGAGTTTAACAGCTTTGTAAGATTCTCAATATCATTGAAAAGCATTGCCAAAGTGGAGAACTGGAAACTAGCTGAAGAGTCAAATTATTCATCTTTCTTTTCCCATGCTAGCCAAAAACATTTACATTTGTTTGTAAAGAGTTACTCACCAAGAGTTAAATGTCTTTACATGGTAATAATAATCTACAGGGCTGGTTAACACGTGGTAATAATAATCTACAGGACTGGTTGATACGTGGTAATAATAATCTACGGAGCTGGTTAACACGTGGTAATAATAATCTGGTTAACACGTGGTAATAATAATCTACAGAGCTGGTTAACATGTGGTAATAATAATCTACAGAGCTGTTTTAACACATGGTAACAATAATCTACAGAGCTGTTTTAACACATGGTAACAATAATCTACAGAGCTGTTTTAACACATGGTAACAATAATCTACATGGCTGGTTAAGTTAACACATGGTAACATTAATTTGCACGGTTGGTTAACTCAAGGTCTTAAAGAAAGATCTGTAAAAAATAACTTCATGTAATGTTTTACAAATAACATGAAACTGTTTATAAAGTAAAGAGATTGGTATGAGTATATATATATGTTTACAAAGTTATCACTTCTTTAAAGAGTCAGGCTATTTGCAGTAATTTTTGTTAGTATGTTTTTCTTATTCCTCTACGTAATTCCGAGTGGCAGATATTTTATTTGTCGAATGAAAATATTCTTATTTTCACTAAATAGACCAAAGAATATACTGCCATCTATTGATAAGAAATTAAACTGTTGAAAAATTAAAAAAAAAGGAAGTATACAATTAATAGTTAAAACAATGAATACGGTGAAGAAAATAAACACAAATTACACATTACAATTTCAAGCTCACTTCTCGAAACATGACTCTCTTTATCTTTGATTCTTTCACAAGCTGGTAAAGCATAAAAGGACCGATTACTTACATTATTTGTTTCGCGTTGGCATGAAAAAGCGCGAGACGTGGGCACTATTAATGCGACGAGCCAAACGGAAACACCCAATTAGGAAGTCACCGTTTTACACAGCGGACGTTTCGCAGGTTTAGCATGATTAGCTATTAATGACTCCTGCAATTTCGTTAATAAAAAGTGGGAAATAATGACGCCACGGTTTTAGATAAATTGCAGCAGTTTCGTCAACGAAACAGCACTTCGTGCGTCATCTTCAAGATGTCAACAATTCGTGTTCCTACTGTAAAGTCCAATGATCAAGGCTGTCGAGTCGGGTATTAAACAGGATGATGTCTGTAGAAAATTCGACGTGAAGCCCGGTACACTATCTACAATTTTGAAGAAAAAGGCCGATGTTTTGAAAATGTATGAACACAACAAAATCCAACCAAACCACTCACGTGTCCGGTTTTCAACAGTGGACGATGTTAAGCAAGCATTGTTAAAATGGTTCACCAACGCACGTTCGACGAATATTCTAATCAGAGAGCCCATTCTCTAAGTAAAAACCAGAGAATTGGGACAAAAGTTGAATCATTCTGACTTCAATACCAGCAGTGGTCGGCTGGAAAGATTCAAGTCTCGACACGGCATCACCTTTATGCGATACTACTGCTGTCAGTAATGATGATGATGATGATGACTGGGTGACAACGTTGTTACCAGAGCTAATCGAGGGTTTTCCCGCAAAAGATATTTTTAATGCTGATGAAACCAGATTCATTTTTTTCGTTTGATGCCTCATAAGAATTTAACATGAAAGTTTGTTCGGTGTTGAAAAAAAACAAAGAACGAATGGCCGTGATGTTGTGTACAAATATGGATGGACACCACTCGTCATAGGAAAATCAAAGAAGCCGCATTGTTTCAAGAATGTGAACTCTCTACCTGTCGATTATCAGGCAAACAGAAAAGCATGTATGGATATCGATTTATTCAGAGATTGGATACACAAAGAAGATAAAAAGTCCTCACGTCGTCAACAATTACTCAGCTCACCCTGAAGTCGATTAAACTCGTGTTTCTCTCGACAAATACAACATTTTCGGACCTTGTGAGTGCTGTCGATAAAACTGGAGTTTGTGAGACACCATCTATTGATGACGTTATTGCTTTCATAAAGGAACAACAAACGACGATGCTCCACTATTCCCCGTCATTGCTGAAGAAGCGTCTTCAACGTCATAAGCCATGGATTGCCTGGTAAAGCTATGTAGTTACCTCCAGTCTCATGAAAACATTCAAACAACCATTTTTACCCAAATGTCACAGATTGAAGACATGATGTCTTCTACACCGTGTTCAAGTCGTCCTCAAACCAAGATTGTGAACTTTATTAAGTGAGATTTTTGCCTTTCACTTACAGTGACACAATTCTGTCTCGATATATTAATGATGTAAATAATCCTATTTAGTGGAAAATAAAAAAGATTGAAAGCTTAATTTTTCTGTTACATGTACTTTAACATCATGTGTCAAAAACTAACCTGGCATTGTGGGGCATTTTGATTATTGAAGACATGTTTGTTTTTCTTGAAAGCGCCATCTAGTGGCCAATCGGTTATAACTAACTCCTGTTATAACAAATTATTTTGCTGGGTCCCTTGGATTTTCTTATCACGACCGTTTTATCCAATGGACAAAAGGGGCAGTTGCTCGGGGCCCACTGCATGTTGCGAGTATATTGAAAGTAAAATGTATAATAAAATAATAATTTACCAGTTTTTTAAATATATTTTCCCTTTGATATTTCTCTATTTTTATCATCAATAAATTTAGCTTATTAAGTTGTATGTAAGGGGTAAACGGGGAAAAGAAGGCACTAGTTTATATTTCGCCTAGGGCTCATCAGTGCCTTAACTCGGCACTGGTGCCTATAAGATAATTCGCTTTTCCGAAATGTGCTGATTAAGAAGTGTTCTAAACGTTTTTCTACACACTGTTTGGCTCGTTTTTGAAACATTGAACAATTTCAATGAGTTGTGTTTGGTAATTATATATTATTGTAGCATTTAGTGCCCATAAACGTCAAACGGAGACAGGCCTCATAGGCTATTATTCAACCTAAATGTTCATGTGTCTGATGTTTGTTTGT